ATTAAATAACTTACATATACAATATAACTCTTTCTCATATAATATAGTATACCTGATATGTTTTATCACCAAAGAAATGTATGGTTTTAAAATTTTCGGTTTCAACATGTTTTAAACAATAAGTTTTATCCCATCCAGTAGGAAATATATCAAAAGAAATCTGTCCACCTAGATTTATTTATTATTGTTTAATGTTGCTATTAATCTTTGTTAATTAAATTAATATTATATTTATTTACCAATTGAATATGTAAGAGAATAATCTGGAAACTGATTTTTTAATGCTTGAACAAATTTAGGTCGAATATTATGAATCTAAATAAAAAGATATATATTTAATAATGATAATATATAAATATGAGAGAATCGCCTAAAATGTTCTTTATAAATACCTTGTCATATTCTTCAAAAGCATTCCTTTCCTCAACACTAATAAAAAAATTGATGTTAAAATTGAATTATATTCTTTTTTGAATGAAGGAATAAAATAAAATAAAATACCTGCAATTACGTCCAATTGGTGACACATTGATCATTCCATTACGAAATTCAACAAATGTACCACTAAACACAGAAGATAAATGATCAATTCACTTGATAAAATCCCCGGTTTGAATAATTTCAAAATATGATAATAATACCGTTTCTTTGGCAAATCAATATCTGCTATGTATCTTAAAATAAAATTCACCAACGCAGAATATTTCTTTTCTCCTATCCATTCAATAAAATTCTTTTAATTTAAAGAAAAAAAGATAATTATGATTAGAAAGAAGAAAGCATTCAACTATCAATTATCAGTTATTAATAAATACTTGAGAAGCAAGTTGTTTTCCTAATCTATAAGCAGTAAGTCCATTCTCAGAGAATCCAAAGTCAAAATCATTGAGAACTAAAAAAAATTAAATAAGTAATTTTCCGGGAAAGAAAATTTTGTTTCTTTAAAACGATCAATCAGTCAATCAATCATTACCGTTTGATCCGAGTTGTTCTATTTGTTTAACAAGATCTGATCCGCCAACAAATCCAATGACTACTTTCTTTCTTAATTTTTTCAACAAATCTGAGATTTCTGGAGTGACTTGCTAAAAAAAATTTTTTATTTATAAACAATTTTACTTTCTTCTTTTTATGATTTTAATATAGATATATAGTCAGTCAGCTTACCCTTCTAGCTGGTGTCAATGTACCGTCCACATCAAATAAAACCAAAGTATCAGGTTGTTCACGATCTTGCCAATCACTCATGTCGAAGAATTAAATAAATATAAATTAAAAAAGTGATAGGAAAAAAAGAGAGAGGGGAAGAATTCCTTTTTTTTTTTTTAAATATTTGATGCATGTGTCACATTTTTTCTACATGTTTATTATTATTTACTTTTTAACTGATAAATAGGGACATGGCTGCAACAGAACAAGGCCCTGAAAACTTTATTCTCGGAGTTTTTTACAAATACGCAACCACTAGCCAATCAATTATTAGTTAAAAATCCACACATACACTATTATTGTACCAAAATAGCATTCAAAAAAACCACAAGAATTTTTTAACTCACTATTTAACAAACTCTAAATAAAGAATAAAAAACTTAAATAAAATAAAAATGTCGGGGCCCTTTTCACCTCAAAAGAAAAGAAGAATTTCAACTTCACCAATTGAAGGTATTTTTGAATCCATTTTAAAAAATTGGCTTGTTTTATTTTTCATTTGAAGGAAAATCTAAACAATGTTTTTTTAAATGGGGAAAAAAATAAAATAAATGAATAAAAAGAAAAACGTGTTACTGCCATTAATGAACAATTAAAAAAGGTACATTGAATATTTTAAATTTTAATTATATATGATATTGGTTTTCAACTAATATTGGTTATTTTAATTTGATTTTTAGAATAAACCAGATTTTTCTGGTGATCGCGTTAACGACATCAACATCAACAACAATATTAGTAATAGTAGTAGTATCAATAGTAATAATAATAATAATAATAATAATAATAACAACAACAGTAGTAGTAGTAGTAATAATGACAATAGCAATAGTAATATAAATTATAATAGTAGTAATAGTAGTAATGGTAGTGGTAGTAGTAATTCAGGTGAAGAAAGAATTAAAAAAAATATTAAAAATAATTTTATTTATTTTTTTCCTATTTATTGAAATAACAATTTCAATTAATTTTAGTTCGTGCAATTACTACAACACAAAATTCACCCAATCAAAGTTTAACAACAGCATTTCCAAAATTATCTTCAACACCAACAAAATCATTAACAACTCTAATAAATACTAATACCATTAACTCTCCATCGGCTCCACCAAGTTATTTAAATATGTCGATAGGTAGTGGTGGTGGCAGTGGTGACACTAAAACAGAATCTTTTGCACAATCATCACCTTTAAAGAATAAAAGGATCTCTTCACCTGCTATACCAATAACAAATACTTTAAATGCTATGAACACCAACAATATTATGATTGATAATGATCCGATTAATAATTATATTAATAATATCACTAACAATAATAATATTAACAATAACATTAACAATAATAATAAAGCTAATAATAATAATAATAATAACAATAGGAATACTAGGATTAATAATAATAATACCACTTCAACTATTAATAATACTCACCAGAAAAATTCTTCTATTTCTTCTACATCGTCACAACAATCTCATCAACTTCAAATGTTACAAAATTTAGGACATCTTTCGCAACAAGATTTGTTAATCAAATTAGTTAAAAAGGAAGAAGAGGTTCAAAATCTATTGGTAATGATGGAGGGTTTTTTTGAGGAAAAAAAAAAGAATTTAATTACTCTGATTAATTAAAATGCATATATGCATACACATGTGCATATAATTAATATATTAATATATTATTTAATAGGGTGAATTACAAACATTATCTCAAACACTTGCACCTGAATTTTCTTATGAACCAGCCTATCGGAAAAAATTTCTTGATCCTGCTATTAATGCTTTATTTCGTACTATGAAAATGGAACTAGAAGAAAAAGATAAAACAATTGAAAATTTAAAGAGAGAGTTGGATGGTGTAGGATTTACACCTAATAGGTATGTCATTATATATGTGTGCGTGTACACTTACCTATATATTCAATTATTTTGTTTAAATTATTATTTTTTTCCAAAGTATTACAGGTAAGAAACTTGTAGAGAAATTGAGAACATTACAAAATGAAAATGAAGAATTAGGCAGACAACTTCGACAAGGACGCGTGGAACAATATGAAGTGGAGATAGCTTTGCAAAGAAAAGTTATTGAAGAGTTGAAAATTGCAATTAAAAGTATGATGATTAATTTATTAAACATTAACAATAATTTCTTGTAATAATAAATTTATGTATGATATACATTATATATATAATAGAAACAGGAAAACAAAGTATAGTTTTAGAAGAAGAGATGGAACGTCTTCAAGATCTTTTATTTCAAATGCATGCAAAAGTGAATCGTTATGAAAAACAGTATGGACCTTTGGAATCTGATAATACAAACACTAGTAGCATCAATAACAATAATACCAATAATAATAATAATGATAGTACTATCATGAATGAAATATCAACAAATAATATCCATAGTAATAATATTAGTAATAGTAGTAACATCAATATTAGTAACAATATTAATAGTAGTAGTAAGAATAATAATAAATTTACTAGAGCCAGGCCTGAAAGAAAAAATCAAAGAGATGATTTCTCTCCATCAACACAACAGATAGATGATGTTTGAAATAAAAAAGGTGGAGGGGGGAGAATTAGCAAAAACTTTGATACAATTTATTTTATTTTTATTTTGTTTTATTATTATTGTTATTATTATTATTATTATTATTGGTTTATTAGTTTTAGTTTATTAATAATATCAAATTATCATCATTCTTTTCTTAAAATAATAATTATAATAATAATACATATTATTTAATGATTTATATATTATAGAAAGAGAGAAACAGATATTTATATTTATATATAGTTGATCAAGGTGCTGGTTAATTAATTGGTTGGTTAGTAATTAAGATAACAATTTATCAATATGAGAATAGAAATTAACAAACATACGAGATAATAATAATAGTATAATCAATATTATTGTACATATTCATATATAAACTTTTTTAAATATTTTATATATATAGTATATATACCAAAAGAAAAGAAATATTTATATAATAATAATAAACAACCTTTTTCTTTTCTTTTCAATTATAAATATAATAGTTGAAAAATCAATACAATTAATAATACAGATAAATCTTTTTAAATAATAACATACACAACATATTTATTATACACTCCTTGGACAAAAATATCCAGATACCCGTTTACATTAATTGTCACAAAGAAACTAATAGTAATTTTTAAAAAGATTCATCAATTCACTCGTGCCAAAATTGAATTAAAACTTTATATTTTTTAGTGATTTTTATCATCATTGACTTAATGATGGTAATTAAATAGAAAATTTTTAGATTCCATAAGTTATTGTTATTATTCATTTATTCAGGAAAGAATACTTGAAGCGAAAAAATAAATCATTAGTATTAATGAGACTTGATATTTAAATGTATATTTTGGGATAGCATCAGCTTGAAGTTTGGGAAATTTTCGAGAAACTGTTATATCGAGAAGGTGTTAAACCGAGATTTTTAATTAGCATCCGCTAAATCGAGGACCGCTAAACTGAGATTCACTGTGCATCTGTTGTGTGTCAATTTCAATTTAAAATTCACGCACAACATATCCATTATTCCCAAAAATTACGTACACAAAATCTTTTCTGCACAAACTAAAGTCCTGTAAACCCAAAAAAAAAAGGCCTCGCCCCTTTTTACAAGTAATTTTTTGTTTACGGGATTTGGTGGATCATCGTTATATATTATAATTTTTTTATAATATATTTTTTTTAAAAAAATTTATTCTGATAAGAATAAGAAGGTAAGGAGGAGAATAATCAAAAAAATTATTATGATGAATAGAATAAATCTAAAATTTCTAATCCATCATAATAAAAATATTCTCTACAATAATATAATAAATAAGCGGTAAATGCTAGTAATAAAAAACTAAAGAAAATCAATAAATCATTATCATTTTGTGAATCTTTAGGTTTCAATTGGGATGTACCAGAATTATATTTATCCAAATCTGGTAAATTAGTATGACACCATTGTTTAATCTTTATAAATAATATATGATATTAATTTAATGCAATGATAGAAAATAACAAATGGAAAGGATTAACAATAATAATATTCTTTTCCTTACCTGACCACAGGCAACACTAATCTTCATAAAATTTGGATCTTTTGAATTATTCTTTTGAATAATTACCTTTGTAAATTCCATAAAAATATTTGCTACCTCATAAATATTTGTGGCTTTCAAAATCAACTAACAAAATATAAATATACAGATAGGCCAATTAATTATATATTAATTATATTAATTTAAAATTTTACCATAAAAAAATGAATGAATGAATGAGTGAATGAATCACCTTTATAGCTTCACCTTTACGAATTTTAACAACGCCTTTATAAACATTATAATTTCTAAATAACAAAGCCATAGTTGCAATAGCCATTACTTGTGGGATGGCACAAAATGTGAAGACACTTTGATTTTTAATTTGGCTCATATAAGTTAGACATTGTGGTACATGTTCAAGAGAATTATGAATCATGGTGGATAAACAGTCTATAGCTCTTGTTTCATATCCAGGTTCTTTAAGATCTGATAAATCATTAACATATTGTGACCAGATTTCTTTAGGCCAGAATTT